CATCTCAACGTGGTCGTGGACAAGCGTGTCAACGACAGAACCTTAATCTATCTCTAGGAGCAAGCCACCGCCCACGGCATCACTCCTTGAAACTTGACCTTTACCTGAATCGGTACACCTCCGCACACGTCGTCAGCTGGATACTGGTTCGAATCTTCTTGGGTGCACACTTTTTCTCCTGACTTGGATATTTTCCCAAGGACACAATGTGTGTCAGTCCTGAGAAGACCTTTTGGAGTCGATCCTACAAAGAACCTTGTGACACTTCCATCGAATTACCCATCCTGGCCACACGAGGTTCCCAGTTGAGGGTAAATTCTGTGGGTGGAGAGTGTTAAGGAGGACCCGATTCGCACGGTATCCGTCGATTGACTTTTACCTGAATCGGTACACCTTCGCAACTATTGTTTCGGCCACTGGCCTAAACACATCTTACTCATAACAAACCGACTAGACCCCCCCATGCTCCCCCCTCTCTTGAGCGATAGGTGTGGGTGGGCGGGAAAATCGATCAAATCCTAGGCGGCACTCCGTGTTTGCTGCTCCTCAAAGCTGCTATCTCTGCTACCCCTCTCCTTCTCTCAAATGCACTTGCTTGCCTCTCGCCCAGCGAGAGCACAAAAGCTTCCTGACACCAGGGCTGTCTCTATTTATCATCGATCCCCGCTTTTCCGAATTCCAACACGCCTCCACAAACCACAGATTCCAATACGTACTGAATCTTCTCGTTTTTGTTTGTTCAAGAATTCTGGATTATTTTTTTCTGCAGGCAACCAAAAAAAAACCAAGACACATGAAACAAATCGAGAGCGAAGGGAAAATGCCGTCTTGCTCCCAACGTTTTCTAATCGGACTAACCCGTTGCAAACTTCGCAAGATTGCCCTCCTATCATAACTATTGTCTCGGCCTCTGGCCTAAACACATCTTACTCCATTGAGCATGTCCGATGACCTACTCCTCCGAACCGCTCCCTGGTCACTCCACGGGTTCCGTTAGGGCCTGAGACACGAACTTTGCTCCTTCACCCCCCGCCCTAACGTACACCATAAAAGCCGATGATTTCCACCTCCCGGCTCTCTGGATCTGGATTACCGACGCCCCCATACTTGCTAGGTGCGTGGCCCCCCCAATCCTTCCTGAATGCAACGCATACTTCTGTGTGTCTCTACCCGCCGCACTCACGAGTGNATTGAGCATGTCCGATGACCTACTCCTCCGAACCGCTCCCTGGTCACTCCACGGGTTCCGTTAGGGCCTGAGACACGAACTTTGCTCCTTCACCCCCCGCCCTAACGTACACCATAAAAGCCGATGATTTCCACCTCCCGGCTCTCTGGATCTGGATTACCGACGCCCCCATACTTGCTAGGTGCGTGGCCCCCCCAATCCTTCCTGAATGCAACGCATACTTCTGTGGGTCTCTACCCGCCGCACTCACGAGTAACCTGAGGTGTCTCGATGCCTCTGCCCTCGAAATAACCTTCCACCTGTCTTGTGCCCACGATTGCGTCAACGGCGCATGACTCCCAAGCTCGGGGTGCAGATCTAAGATATCGAGTAACACGTTCAACGCTTCTCCCGATCTAGTGACGGTTGCTCCCAAACGCTTTTGATCTGCTTTTGAAGCTCTGAACGTGACTTCCACTCGGCTAGCCTGCCTCCGGTCTGCCCACGCAACCCTTACCGGACCGCAAAAGAAACCCAGGTTTCCTCTTGTTAAGACAAAAATCCGAGTGCACGAGCCCCGAGTCGTCCGCCCAGATTTCTGAAGCTCGGCACATCAGCAAGTACGAGAGGGCAAGTCCGCACCAGATCAACTTCCCTGATTCTCCCGAATTTTCGACCACGCACTTTCCAGCCTCTAGCATGTTCCATGTGAGTGGATTCCTAACCTTAGGCTTCGTCTGCGTATTGGCGTGGACCCTATCAATGGTCTTTAGCATGGCAAGGATCTGGAAATGCGAAGTGGGCAACTCCCAACCTGCGTGCATCTTATGGAAGTACTTGATGGCTGAGAGATACCCGCGGATAGTCTGACTCTGGTTCTTGTGACCGAAACACCGGCAAGGCATGAACACCGACAGCTCACGCACTGCACTTTCCACCCCATCGCACTCGCGGAGCCACGGGCCCAAACCCGCCCCTGCACGAGCCTCCTTCCACGTGTTCCACATCCTTTGATACACCTTGTTGGTACCACTTCCCAAAGACCCGAAGGTGAGTGCGTTGACCAACCGCTCCCCCTCGACGCTCGTGCCTCCCCGGCCATCCTTTCCCTGTGTTTCTGATGTACAATCATCGGGTGTACACAGCGTGAGGACTGCGCACATTTCGAGGTTCCTTTCTAAGGTACGACGAACCATGGATAGCCCCGACTTGGCTTGAGGGGAGAACAGAAAAACTTGGTCGTCCAAACCAACTCTGCCTCCCCCGGCTATCCATTTCATCAAGGCGTCATGAAACAGTGAATGTGAGGCGTGTCCACCGCTCCAGCTTCTCGCTATCTCATTTCGTTTGATAATTCGTTGATCGTCCGGAACACAGAGCGGTGTCCAACCGCCCCCGCTGCCGTGTCAGATATGTTCTGTTCCTTGGACCATAATGTCCCATACCGAGTCGTCCAGACTCTTTTGGCAATTTCGTTTGTAGGATAATGCTGAGCAACGCTCGTCCCCCTTCTCCAATGTCCTGCTGTGTCTACCCTGAGTCTTTTGTGAGCCTTTTTACATTGGAGGCGATCTCGTTTTCTTCCCAACGTGAGATCCCGTCCGCGAGTGTGTTCTTTCGACCAGGGATGTGCTTGGCCACGTGGCACCAGCCGCAAGAAATTTCCATCCTACCCATGAGTCTCATTATGAGGCTAGCGCGCCTGTCACGCGATCCTCCACACCTGTTAGTCCAACTGACGGCCGACACGTTGTCTTCACGCATCAACACCGACTGTCCTTCTCCTATAGGTCTGTCTTTCAAGATCATTTGGACTACCCACGCCGTCATGAACATGCCCGCGAGTTCTAACAGATTGATCGTAATGTCTGCCGTCTCCTTCTCTTGCGCCTTGCGCTTGAGCTCCGCAGACAACGGTGATTCGATCGTGTATCTCCAGAAAGTCTTTAGTTCGGGACAGTAGCCGCCAATCGCTGTAAAGCTCGCGTCTGAGAGGTAAAGGCGTGAAGGTGCTCATTTTACGTGGAGTAGGAACGATGCGCTGAGGGACTCCCCTCGAAGTGCCAGTGGCTGATTGAGGGCCCACTTCCAGAAGGCGATATCGCCGTGGAACTCTCTACCCAAGTCCACTAGTCGTCGTGACCGTGTGTGTCGACTGGCTTGCGTATGCAGACCCGATAGGCGGAGCAGTTGCCACACGAAGTACCTACCTGCCCTGATAACATAAGTGAGGTTCCACAGTTTTCCTGCAATGCTGAAGACTTCTTGAACACTGGCCTTCTTCCTATCGTGGGGCCAATCTACCTCTAGTATGTTCCGAATCGCGCTTACCCGTTCGGGTGTAGTTGCNATTGCGATTCCTTCTGGTAGTAGTCTAGCGTTCGCGAGGGACGTGTTGCGGTGCGAGTGCTCTGCAGCGGAGGCTAACACACCCCACAATCCTGGTGACGCTGCCCAGCCAAAGGTCAGCCGTAGATCCGCTACTAGCACGTCTCCTATCACGTAGCAAAAGTTGTGTGCATGATCTGGTGATATCCTCACATTTCTGAACGCAGAGGTGACATCAGCCTTGGCTGCGAGGATTCTCTTGTCGGGCCATCTTACTCGTAGGCTAGTGAGCTCCTCGAGGAAGGCTGGTAGTGCTTCGCCGCACAGGCAACGTGGAACTCCAGATATAATGGTATCGTTATTGAGCCCACCACCCCTTGCTAGTGCTTGGGTCAAAAGAGAAGTCGTTGATGATCCTCACTTTTTTCCCTGGGACCGCTCCCAACGGGGCTACTCTGATCCCACGTACGTCCGACGCGTTCGCCTTTCTCAGGACAATATACTTGTTACGCTTGACATCGTCGCATAGTTTTTCCCACACTTGTGTTTGGTGATCGTCTACGATACGGTGGTTGCCGCATGCCAAGGGTTTCTTAAGGTTTTGCTGCGAGTCTAGAGTNCTACTCTGATCCCACGTACGTCCGACGCGTTCGCCTTTCTCAGGACAATATACTTGTTACGCTTGACATCGTCGCATAGTTTTTCCCACACTTGTGTTTGGTGATCGTCTACGATACGGTGGTTGCCGCATGCCAAGGGTTTCTTAAGGTTTTGCTGCGAGTCTAGAGTGGGGCCGGGGCTCCTTCACCGACTATCTCAATGAGGTCATCGATACCCGGGAAGCCCTTCTCCTCTCCGAAATACTGCTTGACGTCNCCATCTTCCGAATGATACATTGCTTCTCGTCTAGTGAGTGTATGCTTGACGTCTCTGTACCTCGAGTCTATCGGTCAGAGTTTTTGAATTTTTCCACAAGGTTGTAGTTTTTGGACTCTCTAGGGCCGAAGGTTCTTTCCCCGCCCTAAAGTGAGAAGTCGCTGAATTCGACCAGCAATCATGTCGCACTACTTTTGTGTCAGCGGCCCTAGTAGTGTCCGCCGCTAGTGCCCCACGTGCCAACAGTGCTTCCCCCGGGGTGTCCGCCCCCGGGAGAGCTTTTGACGCGGTCATGCCCCGCCAATTCCGTGTCGTTCCCGCGAATGGTGTCCGCCATTCGGGGCTGTGTGACTGACAATTGCTTAAACAGGGTGTCCGGCCTGTGTATGTCCTTCTGCACACTACTGGTGTCCGCCAGTATTTTTTGTTTACCGACAACGCTCGCGGCGTCCACCGCTTGCGTGCCGCGGGGCCAATTACATTCGCCCGGGGTGTCCGCCCCCGAGGCGACTGCATTGCAGTGTTCAGCACGCGTGGTGTCCGCTACAGTCTTCGTGGTGTACAAGGCAGAGCAGTAATTGATCCCGCTATTGGTGTCCGCCAGTAGGTATTCCGTTAGTGAGTTTTTCGCGGGAACGACGTCCACCATTTGCGGGAGTGAGGGTAATGCATGTTCACACCGGATGTCCGCCCGGTGTGTGTCAGTATTCGCACAATTGGTGGCCGCCAATAGTTTTGACCTATCCATCACCCGTGCGGTGTCCTCCGCTTGTGTGGTATTTGACCCGTACTTAGCGCCGAGGGTGTCCGCCCCCGTAGCTACTGTTTTTGACGTTTCGGCGTGAGTGGTGTCCGCCACTATGCAAGGCGAAAACGAATCCAAACAGTCAACAGTATCGGAAATTGCAGGTTCGCAACTCATGCTCTCACCGTCAAACACAGCGGGTGCCACCGACCCGGGAAGGGGAACTCCCACGCTCGCTACTGTCCTTCTGCTATCCGCGAAGGCGTTCGTTCCCGTGCCAAGCTCGCCGCCCCCCCTTGTCGGCCCCACCTCGTGGAAGTGGGGCCCGCACCGTCACGGATTGGTACCGCCACGGCCTCCTCCCGCGCTCCCTCCACCTCCTCCTCCTC